TAATTTTTGTCAAAATAAAAAGCAGTTGAGCATCTGATATTATCTCAGTTATATCAAGATTTATTTCAAATAGCAGGTGTATAATCAAAGACTAATCATGGAAATACAGAATCAATAGATGCAATTGCGTTCTATGTCAGGTAACCATTGAAATTATGAGGCATATAGCTGCCAATCAACTTTTGGTCTTTGTGGAAGGAAAATTTTAAAGGTCCTTTATCTTCCTCTAGCCTCTGGTTCAAATCTTGCAGTCTAGACACATTCCAAAAATAGCAAGTAGAGAGATTCTTAAAATTTGGCGTAGACTATGGGGTAGAAAGTTGACTGATCGGCCGTTTACATAACATGAGTACTCAAATATAAAAGCTGATTCAAACGGCGTGCACATTAAGGGTTATCAAAGAAGTTGTTTTATTTCTCATCTACTCCATCGCTCCTTAGTTTAAACCTGAGCCCTCCAAAGAGCCTCCCCTCTCATTTAAATGTTGAGTCCATGGGTGGTCCTAAATTGTTGAGTTGGATGGAGAATGCATGTCTCAGCGACTTCCTTTCCTGATAAGAAAGTTTTATCACTGTTCTTCCACAGGGGCATGGCTGGAAACAGCAAGGACCTTCGTTCTAGCCTGACTTCCCGTTTGTATTGGTGGGGGAAGCAGGTGAGACAGACCCGCCCTGTGTCCACTCAGCCTGTGACTCATGCAGCCACTTCCAGCACTTGTCAACTCCTCATGGCCTTCAGCCCTCCCAGCAATTGAGTGGTGCTCCTCCGTCCCTCATTTCCACTGTCAGCCCTGGAGCAGTGGTTTTCCAAGCGTGACCTGAAAGCCCCTGAGATCTATGAGGCCAACACTCCTTCTTGATCATACTAAGACATTATTTTTCCCCTTTTCACTCTCATTATCATTAGTACACAGCAGTTTTCCAAATGCTACATGACAGGTGATATTGCACCTCACTGAATTCAGAAGATATGAGAATCCGACTATCTTTCACTCAGAGCTTTCATAAAATGTAATGCTACTTTCTTTACTAATTCTTTTTAGTTTTAAAAAGTATTCATAAAACTATGTTATAGATGCAGGCCTATGGTTAAAATACCCCTGGGGAACCTGCTTCCCTTAACAGAGTGTCTGGGTTCAAGTCCCGGCTCAACTTACAATTCTAGCTTTAGCCTTCTGCTAATACATGCCCTGGTAGGCAGCAGGCCCAAGTACCTGGGTCCCTGCTACCCACATGGCAACCTGAACTGGGTTCCAGGCTCCTGGCTTTGTCCTGGCATAGCCCTGGATATTGCAGGCATTTGGGGAGAGAAGCAGTGGGTGGAAGATCTCTCTGTCTCTCACCTTTCAAATAAAATGAAAATAAGTAAATTTTTAAAGCTATGTTATTTAATTAAATTAATAAATGCATATTTAAAAGTCTCCTAATTTTAATTATAAAATATTCAGCATCAACTGATAACACCTATATGATCAAAAACCATATGGAGCCCTGAATAATTTTTAAGAATCTAAGAAATCAAAATGTTGAAGAACTGCTGGCTTGGGATTGGCCAAGCCTCTCCGGGGAGGATGCAAGTTACTTTACAGCCATCCAGTCATCTCCCAAAATCCCACCTATGTCCTTGACTCACTCCCTTCTGTAGTCAAGCCTCACCATCAGGGGGCAGTAGCACAGTGGTGGTTGAAAATTGTATGCACAAAGAGACAGTTTAGATTCCTTCTCTGATACTTGTTAGGTTTGTAGCTTTGAGGAATTTCCTTTGCCCTCAAAAATATCTGTTTTCTCATCTATAAAAGAGGTAAAATGGTAGCACTTATAGGTTGACGAGAATAAAAGGGGCACACAATAAATACTAACTATAATAGATAAAATTTCTTTCTTTCTTTCTTTCTTTCTTTCTTTCTTTCTTTCTTTCTTTCTTTCTTTCTTTCTTAATTCAAAAGGCAGAGCAACTGAGAGAGACAGAGAAAGAAAAAAAGACAGAAAGATTTTCCACACACACTTGTTTACCTTCAAATGCCTGCAACAGCCAGGACTGGGCCAGGCCAAAGCCAGGAGCACAGGTGGTCTGGTAGGGACTCAAGTACTTGAGCCATCACCTGCTGTCTCCCAGGATGCACATTAGCAGGAAGCTGGATGAGAAGCGGAACTAGGACTCAAACCCAGGCACTCCAATGTGGGGTGTGGGTGTCCCAAGCTGTATCTTAAGTGTAGCACCAAGTACCTGCCCCCTATGATGAAATTTGTTAAGGTTTCATCTGTGATTGTACAATCAGAAGGATTGGAAGGAAAAAGTAAAGCAAATGCCAGCTTGTTTTATTTGCTTGAAAATAAGCAAATCTAAGGGGCATACTAACATTCAGTAAAAGTTTGGTTTAAAATGTACAATAAGTGAGAGATAACTTTGTGTTGGTCAGTTCAATCTTGCCATAAAAATGTTTTGATTCCTCGTAGTTTATTGTCAGATCTTTCTTGCCTGAGTTAGCTAAGCCCTTGCTTCTAATAAGGTGGACTTGGAGCAGAGGAATCAAAAGGAAATTGGCCTTGTTGTGATGGGTAGGTCTGGATGGGACATTTTGAGGGTAGCACTGCTGGGCTTCCTGTCTTGCCTGTGCACATGATGGTTTGAAACCCATCCTGATTTCTTTCTGGCCCAATAACAGGCCAAACAGGCCAAAAATGGTGTCCGCCTGCCCACCACAGTCATCCTACAGAGGGAGGAATGTCTATACTGCGAGCAGCTGCCACAAGTATGGTGTTAAAAAGCTGTCTGTTTTCTTTGAGTCAAATATCCAGTAAGTAGATCTCTTTTAGACTCACAATTCCTGGTGTGGAAGAGCTTGATTTGATGCCTGCTGAGCACACTATGGATATCAGGAATCCTTTTGCATCCATTCCTGTCCTTTTGAAGAAGCATTCCATAGGACCTGACTCTTCTGCCTCTTGGATTAGACTGAATTGGCCACTTGCTTCTAACCAGATCTGCCTTCTGTGCGGTCAACTCCTGCTTATTACTAGGGCTATTGTTATTTTCCAATTCCTAGGTCTCTCTGAAGTAAAACTGAGAATCTAATCTCCTATCTTGCTACCCTATAAGCCAAAAAATTTTATTTTTGTGTAAAGAGAAGATTTGTCCACAGGCCTCAAAGTTCTGACATGAGACTTACTGACTGAGCTAAGTCCAACCCGACAGCAAGATCTGCACGGTTTGGTCTCCCACATCTTGTATTTAGTTAACAGGTGCCCTTGTATTCCACAGCTGAGGCTACAGCCCCACTATGGTCACTCTTCTGTTGGACCAGAAGGAAGATTGTTATTTTCCCATAAACACATGAACTCCCCCAATGGAGTTGTTCACATAGGTTTTGGCAGGAGTTGGGTCATCCTCTAGAACTGGTAAACAGTCTACAGTTTCATTCATTTGTATTCTAGAATCTTCATCTCCTGGACCCAAGAGATTGGCACAAACTTTACCGTGTGACAAATTTCAGGAAGTCATTCCTGACTCCCTCTCAGCTGTGAAGCGGCTCTCCAATTTCATTGCAATAAAACCAGCTGGAGTTAAAGGTTGATGTTACCCAAGTTTTCCTTATCCAGAGACCTCAAGTACTCACAACTGACACCCCTACTCCTCCGTCTCCAAGGCTTCCACCCTCATGCTGACAGCCAGGAGTGAGACAGTGCAGCCTAGCACCCTTGTTCACAGGAGTCCTGGCTCTCCCTCTATTGAATGGTCTTGGCTGCACCCTCAGGGGATCCATCACTCTTACTTCAGCAATTTGATCTTAGACACTGTATCCTGTGATCCATTTGCAGAACCCTGGTCTCCTGCAAAGGGCATTGGAGATTTGGGGGTACCATGAGACTTCAATAACCAAATCCTCTTCTGTAAGACTGGCCACGAGTCAAGCCAAAGTCTGAATGTTGTCACAGACTTCCTGAAGGCGTCTCTTCTTGGTGAGACTCGTCATGCAGGAGACCCTGGACTTGGAAGTCCAGAGAGGAGGACATGAGTGTGTGCTGGTTGCATTGAGCAGTGAGGCAGTGGCCTCCCAACTGATCTTCTCACCCTCCTTTTCCTCTACTCGTTTCCCCACACTGCACCAGGTTATCTGATTGTGTCCTTCCTTGTGTTAAAAACCTTCCCTGTGCCCCATATCATGGCCCTCAAGGCTCTGTATGCTCTTGCCAATCTCTCCAATCTCATCTCATGCCACCTTCTCCTCCATGGACGTGCTCTAGCCCAAGTCTTTCTGATCCTCCAGCGCCCTCTGGCTTGCCCACAGGTCCATTCATTAACTTGAGCTTCAGCTCAGCTTAAGAGAAGCTGTCCTTGAGTCCCCAGAGCAGAGCCAGCCTCAGCCCTTACCCCCTTTCCTAGTTCTACATCCCATTCCTTCGCAGTGAGTGAAGACAAGTCAGAGTAACTTGTAGTGTCTGCTTCCTCCATCAGTTGTGCAGGATCCATGTCTGTAAGTTTCTGCCCGAGTCTTGAGTACCCCACGTGGTAGGGGTTTGAGAAATATTTATTAGATGAATAAGTCGACAAAAATAAATACGGAGAGATTACCATCACAGCTTTCACCAGCTGGTGGGTGCAGATGCAGTTCTGTAACTGCATGCACTTTCCATGGTTCTGTCACTCTGGTGACAGCTAGACAGCTTTCCCTTCTCTGTGACATGCAGAGTAGGCAGCTGTGGGAGTGGGTGGCTGGCTTCTCCTCCACTTCCTTATCCTCAATTTCTCTCTCCTCTCCTCTGATCCACCAAAAACACTCCTACAGGCAAGCGTAGACAGAGAGCTCTTACACAGCACATAAACAGAAAAGGCAGTTTGGGACTCTGGTTTTGTGAGTTTCACAAACACGTGCGTTTTCAGCTGTATTTATTTAAGTTGGATTTGTCTACTGGCCTCATTCTGTTAAAAAATTAATCATAAAATAACAGAACCCTTATTTAAGATTCACAAATTTCTCAAAAGTCTAGTTTCCCAGAAATCTTTTTTTAAAAAGATTTTTTATTTATCTGAAAGTCAGAGTTAGAGAATCTTTTTTTTAATTTTTAATTTTATTTATTTGACAGGTAGAGTTATAGACAGTGAGAGAGAGAGACAGAAAGAAAGGTCTTCCTTCCATTGGTTCACTCCCCAATGGCCGCAACGGCCAGAGCTGCGCTGATCCGAAGCCAGGAGCCAGGTGCTTCTTCCTGGTCTCCCATGCGGGTGCAGAGGCCCAAGCACTTGGGCCATCCTCCATTGCCTTCCCAGGCTACAGCAGAGAGTTGGATTGGAAGAGGAGCAAGAACCCAGGGCCCATGTGGGATGCTGGCGCCGCAAGTGGAGGATTAACAAAGTGAGCCACGGCACCGGCCAAGAGAATCTTTCAACCACTGACTGGCTGCAACAGCAGGGGCTGGCCCAGGCTAAAGCCAGGAGCCAGGAGCTTCTTCTAGGTCTCCCATGTGGGTAGCAAGGGCCCAAGCACTTGGGTTGTCTTCCGATGCTTCTCCCAGCAGTTCCATTATCAGGGAGCTAGATCAGAAGTGGAGCAGCCAGGACATGAGCTGGTGTCCATATGGGATGCATGCACTGCCAACAGACACGATGCATCAATTTAAGATTTTTTTATTTATTTGAAAATCAGAGTTACAAAGAGGGAGAGGCAGAGGCAGAGTCTTCCATCCACTGGTTCACTCCCCAAATGGCTGCAATAGTCAGGGCTGGGCTAGATCAAAGTCAGGAACCAGGAACTTCATCTGGTTCTCCCACATGGATGCAGGGGCCCAAGCATTTGGGCCATCCTCTGCTGCTTTCCTAGGCACACTAGCAGTGAGCTGGATTGGAAATGGAGGAGCCTGGACTCATATGGGATGCTAGCATTGCTGGCGGTGGCTTTATCGGCTATGCCACAATGCCGGCCCCTCCCAGAAATCTTAACAAAAAAGCTTTATATCACTTGGAATAGTTTTCCAACAGCATATTTTGCATGCACACTTTTGCCTTACCAGGGAACTTTTCACAGATGTCTAGAGTTTGTTTTCTAAAATGATCCCAATCTGCTTGAGGAGACGGTCGATGAATTTCCTGCTTTATATTCCCCCTACACCTATGCATAAAAAGTGAATTTTTCTGCTTGTTTTTAGAAAGAAAAATTAAATTAGAAAGCAAAAGAAAATGAGCTAACTCTAAGAACAAGTTGTTCCTCAATTGTACATTCTGTAATTATACTTTGGAAGGTATGACAAAGGAAAATGAAGACTAGACCAGAAGGTAAAACTCTACTCAATTTACTTGAAATAAAAATCAGGTTAACTGAACAAAGAAAACATCATCATTCAAATCTGAAAGATGATAGATCCAGAAATTATATTTTTTAGCATTTATTTTATTTCTTTGGGAGAGAGACTGACAGACAGAGATACAGAGCACCCGTCTACTGGTTCATTCCCTGAATTCTTATAATGGCCAAGGTTGGAACAAACTGAAGCCAGGAACCAGGAACTCAATCCAGGTCTTCTATGTGAGTGGCAAGGACCCAACTATGTGAGCCATCATCTGCTGTCTTCTAGAGAGTACATTATTAGGAAGCAGGAGTTGGTAACTGAGCCAGAACTTGAACCTAAGCACAGTGATATGGGATGCAGGTGCCCTAAGTGACATCTTAAGCAGTAGGCCAAATACCTACCGCTCAGAAATTATATTTTTCATAGGAAATTATTTCCACAAACTACTCTGGATTAAAAAACTCTGGGCCGGTGCCGCGGCTCACTAGGCTAATCCTCCACCTAGTGGCGCCGGCACACCGGGTTCTAGTCCTGGTCGGGGCGCCGGATTCTGTCCCGGTTGCCCCTCTTCCAGGCCAGCTCTGTGCTGGGGCCAGGGAGTGCAGTGGAGGATGGCCCAAGTGCTTGGGCCCTGCACCCCATGGGAGACCAGGAGAAGCACCTGGCTCCTGGCTTCGGATCAGCGCGGTATGCCGGCCGCAGCGGCCATTGGAGGGTAAACCAACGGTAAAGGAAGACCTTTCTCTCTCTCTCTCTCTCTCTCTCTCTCTCTCACTGTCCACTCTGCCTGTCAAAACAAAACAAAACAAAATAAAGAAAACACCTCTGTGGCTTAGACATTTTTGATAGCCAACTTTAACTCCTGTGTGATCAATACCTTTTAAAATAATCTCATTTGGGGCCAGTGCTATGGTGCAGCAGGTAAAGCTGCCGACTGTAATGTTGGCATTCTATATGGGTGGTGTTTCGAGTCTTGGCTGCTCTACTTCTGATTCATTTCCCTGCTAATGCACCTGGGAAAAGCCATGGAGGATGGCTCAGGTACTTGGGCCCCTGCACCCATGTGGGAGATGTGGATGAAGCTCCTGGCTCCTGGCTTTGGCCATTTGGGGAGTTAACCAGTGAATAAAAGATCTGTCTCTGTCTCTGTCTCTCTCTGTGTGTATGTCTCTCTATATATAACTCTACCTTTCAAATAAATAAAATAAAAATAAACAACAACAAAAATAATGTTCATAGACCCCATGAGGAGGACTCAGAGCAAAAATAATCATGCAGAATTTATTGTAATAGGAGTCAGCAAAAAGCTTCCCGATTTCAGATCCAAGAATCCCTCCCAGTGAGGAGAAAAGGATGGTCCCGATGGCAGATGGAGTGTGAAGAGAACTTGCACTGGTGGTGGCTGAGAGGAGCACTGAGCTGGCCATGGTGGGATGGAGGGATGTGCCAGGCATACTGGGACATGCTGGGCACAGAGGAGAGGCACCTGGGGCATGTTCTCAGGTAGAGGCAAACTGGCCATGTGGCAGAAGGACTCTGGGACAGCTTTCAGAGCCCCATGGGCCACAGTGTGGCTTGGAAGTACATGGAGTGTGCTGTGACTGGAGGGTGCCACATAGGGCCTTAAGTAGCACTGCGCAATGTCTGTAATTCAGCCTGACAGTACAATGAATTCTTGTGCACCCAGAAGCTGTGCAGACATTGACAATGGATCATGTTTCTGTGGTTTGAGTGTCCCCCATGCCTTCGTGTTTGAAATTGTGAGGTATTAAGAGGGTAGAAACTTAATCCCATCAGGGCATATGGAAGTGGGCCTTTAGGAGGAATAAGGATTAGACAAGGTCATTAGGGTGAAGCCTTCTTGGTTGAATCCTGGTGACTTCATAGACACCAGAAATACCTATTCACATGGATGCATCGTGTCTGTTGCCATTTGATGCTCTGTGCCACCACAGGACTGCCAACAAGGAGGCCACCATTGTATGAGCTCCTTAGCTCGTGCACCTTCAAAACCATCAGCCAAAATAGACCTGTTTTCTTTATAAAGTTAGCCTGATTCAGCCTGTGTGTGTGTGTGTTTTAGGGGTTTACTTGTTTATTTATTTGAAAGGTAGAGTTACATAGATGGAGGAAAGGAAGGAGGGAGGGAGAGAGAAAGAGAGAGAGAGAGATTCCACCCACTAGTTTGCTCCCCAAATGACACAACAGCCAGGGCTGGGCCAGGCCAAAGCCAGGAGCCAAGAACTTCTTCCAGGTCTCCCACATGGGTGCAGGGGCCCAAGGACTTAAGCCATCTTCTGCTGCTTTCCAAGGTGCATTAGTAGAGAGCTGGATTGGAAGTGGAGCAGCGGAGACTTGAACTGATGCCTATATGGGATGCCAGTGTCACAGGTGACAACTTAACCCATAATGCCACAATGCAAGTCCCAGGTGTTTTGTTATAGTAATGAGAAAATCGATTAATAACAGTTGTCAAGCTGCAAGGGCCTCTAGTAGGATCCTAAGGGACGATTCAGCAGTTGCCTCCGTGTGAGTAAACAAACGGCAAACAGGCTGATGGACAGCTAAATGGAAGCCTAGGGCCAGGTGCCCCAGCTCCTGATACTATGACACTCCATAAACACCCTAGAGTAGTAGCTCTATCCCTCTGGTATATATTGACCAAATTTAAGTTGTTACCACTTAGAGAGTGGAGGTACTGAACAACAACAACAAAAAACCACTAGAGAAAAATAAAGTTACTGTTTCTTACATAGCCACATTTGTGGGCTGAAATGTGGAACCATTACACATACTTCTCTTTTAGAACTCTGATAGCCTTCATTCACAAATTACTTCTCTTACTCATAGCATTGCTAACCTAGTTTTGCTGTTGAAAATGGAAGTGGGTCCCTGGTGACTTAGTGAGAGAGTAGAGAGGGCTTGAGGAGAAAGGAGAGTGGAACTGGAGAAGGAGCCTCTTTCTAATGGGAAGAGAAAGAAGAGACAGGTCAGATAAGAGGAGAGGGAAAAGAGCCTGATGAATGTACAACATTCTTTTTATTTTCATTGTGGTTCCATACAGCATTCACAGGATTTCCTAATTTTCTAGAATGTTCATGGTAGATACTTTAAACCCCTGAAATTGGAATTTTATTTGAAGTGCAGGGAAAATACTAGATTTAAAATCATAGTTTAGGGGGTGAGCATTTGACATAGTGATTAAGATGCTGCTTGAGACGCCTGCATCCCATATTGGGGTGCATGTGTTCAAGTCCTAGCCCAGCCCCCGATTTCAGATTCCTGCTAATGCACATCCTGGGAGGTAACAGGTTATGGCTCAAGTAGTAGTTGGGTCCCTGCCACCCATGCGGGAGATGTAGATTGAATTCCTAGCCCCTGACTTGGGCTTAGTCTTGACCTAGCTGTTGCGGGCATTTGGAGAGTGAAGCAGCAAATCAGACATCCCTGTCTGTCTATCACTCTGTCACTTTCTCTGTCACTTGCCTTTCAAATAAGTAAATAAATAAGATAGGAGACCAGTTACATGTTTAAATGAAATCACAGCTTGGTTAAATGTTTTGATTTTGCTAACTAATAGAACTTAAGCACTCCCTTAACTTCCTTGAAGCTCAGTTTTTTCAGCTGTGAAAGGGTTGAATAAAATACATTCTACTGAATTATCGAGAAAATTGAGCCAATATACATGGAAGAGCTTTGTAAAAGAGGTGAAAAGCTCCCTTGTGGGAAGGGATATCATTTCTGTGGTAGAGGAGACAACGCAGGAAAAGGCAGGACAGGGTGGAAGACATCTGGGGTCTTCACATGGATAGTTCAGGATGGGTGTCTGGCATAGTGGTTAAGTCACTGCGTGGAAGACCAGCATCCCATTAAGTCACTGCTTGGAAGATACTGCAGGAAGACCTGCAGCGCCTGGTTTCAATCCCAACTCCTCTGCTTCTGATCTTGCTTCCTGCTAATGCACAATCTGGGAGGCCACAATGATGGCTCGAGTATTTGGGTCCCCGTTATCCACATAGGAGACTTGGGTTGAGTTCCTGGCTCCAGGCTTCATCTTGGCTCAAACCTAGCTGTTGTGGGCATTAGGGGAGTGAACCAGCAGATGGAAATGCTCACTCGCTCTCTCTGCCTTTCATATCAAAATGAAAATAAAACATTTTAAGAACCTGACAATACAAGGACATTAATGTGTTGGGAAAAGTGCCTCAGAAGAGAAAAGGGAGCAAAGGAGCAATACGGGCATCAGAGGCAAACCCAGCCATCCTGTCTTAAGTCTGGTGACAACATTGAACTCTGTGTACTGACACTTTCCTAGCAGCGTAGTCCTCAGCTTCCCGGACTTGTACTTAGAATTAGCTTCAGGTTCATTGCTGTATTCACAGTTCCAGAATATGACAGTCACTTCTAAATGCCTTCAATCTAAGAAATCAACAGTAACTGGAGCTTTAGAAATCAAAGGTTAAAAAAAAAAACCAAAGGTTAATCTTTCAACTCTTAGAAATCCTTAATTATTGCCCTTCCTGTGGAAGTCCTTGACCATGGGTTTAACTGGTCGTTCATTCTTTGCTGTATCTCTGGAAATTCAGCACTTCTGTGAGAAAATCATTGTCAATCTTCTCTGAAGACAGAGAATTAGGAAGTCACTTCAAATCAAGCTTCAGCTGGCATGACTTAAGGTTAAAAATAATAGCAACCATTCTAATTTGGTACAGGGCTGGAATCCTCTAGTTGTAAAATGAGATGAGGAAAATTCCATTTATCAGAATTCTTGAGAGGCAGTTTTGGGGAGGGATATTTTGTTATGTTACCTGGAATAGGGATGAAATCTCAGAAACACACACTCAGGTTGACACGATGACTGCTAAACTGTCTTATCAGAAGGGTAGCAGACATTCTTAACCAGAGCTTCCCAGGTTTCACTGAAAATTTTGATGGGTTTATGAGTATGAGCTTGGGGGTAGACGCCAAGAAGAGGTGAACATTTTGTACACTGGAGAGGGAACATATTCAAAGTGAGAGGTAGAAATCTTTTTTTCATTGTTTTCTTCTTAAATTTTATTTAAGGTATACACATTTCATATATATAGATTCAGGAACACAGTGATACTTTCCACCCTCCCCTCCCTCCTGCCCATTCTCCCACCCTTCCTCCTCCTTCCTCTCCTGTTTCCACTGTTAATTTTTACAGTGAACTGCTTTCAGTTTACATTGCTCATAAGATCAACCCTACACTAGTAAAGAGTTAAACAAATAGTAATAAGAAAAAAACAGTGTTCCTCAACAATTGAGAAAAGGGCTGTAAACAATTATCGAGAGGTAGAAATCTTGTGGAGAACTAGGGAACCATCAAAGCTGAAGCAGTGTTGAGAGAAAGACCTCTGGTAGGGAAGAGCCAGAGGTGGATTTTTAAGAGAAGAATTTTTTTTTTTAAATATTCATTTATTTGAAAGGCAGAGTTACAGAGAGAGAAAGAGAGAGAGAGAGAGAGAGAGAGAGAGAGAGAGAGAGAGAGAGAGCCGGCGCCGTGGCTCACTAGGCTAATCCTCCGCCTTGTGGCAACGGCACACCGGGTTCTAGTCCCGGTCGGGGCACCGGATTCTGTCCCGGTTGCCCCTCTTCCAGGCCAGCTCTCTGCTGTGGCCAGGGAGTGCAGTGGAGGATGGCCCAAGTCCTTGGGCCCTGTACCCCATGGGAGACCAGGATAAATACCTGGCTCCTGCCATCCGATCAGCGCGGTGTGCTGGCCGCAGCGTGCAGGCCGCGGCGGCCATTGGAGGGTGAACCAACGGCAAAGGAAGATCTTTCTCTCTGTCTCTCTCTTTCACTGTCCACTCTGCCTGTCAAAAAAAAAAAAAAAAAAAAAAAAAAGAGAGAGAGAGAGAGAAACTTCCTTCCACTGGTCCACTCACCAAATGGCTGCAATGGTCAGGGCTGGGCCAGACTGAAGCTAGGATCCAGGAACTTCTCCTGGGTCTCTGACATGAGTGCAGGGGCCCAAGTGCTTGGGCCATCTTCCGCTGCTTTCCCAGGCCATAGCAGAGAGCTGTATCAGAAGTGGAGCAACCAGGACATGAACTGGTGCCCACATGGGATGCCAGCGTCACAGGTGGCAGCTTTACCAGCTATACCACAACACTGACCAACAAAGAGCAGGCATTTTAAGAGAGATGCCCAGAAGTGTTTTATTTTGAAAAATATTACACCTTTAGAAAAATTGAGACTAGCACAATAAATACTTGTGGACCCCTTGCATATAATACATATAGAGGGCACATTTGTATAAATCTGTGTGTATATATATTCAGTGTGTAAATAAGTCAGATAGTAAATAGAGAGAAATGAGCATATGTATATTTTTCCTGAAACCATTTGAAGGTTGGTAATAGGCAACATAATGCTTTACCACAAATGTTCCAGCATGTGTCTCCTAAGAACAAGGCCATATTCCTAGAGAAGCACTTCACTCAGGAATTTAAATGTGATACAATTTCTAATATTCAACCTATACCCAAATTTCACTATTGTTCCAGTAATATCCTTGTAGATACCCAATTTAAGAGGGATTAAAGCATGTTCATCATGACTGCCTTCTCCATTTTCTCTACAAAATCATCAAAAACAAATATCAGGGTTGGCATTTTAAGGTAGAAAGGTAAAGCTGCTGCTTGGGAAGCTTGCACCCCATATTGGAGCGCAGTTCCAGTCCCCACGACACCATTCTTTTTATCCAGCTTCCTGCTAATGTGCCTGGGATGCAGCAGATGATGGTCCAAATTGCTTGGGTTCCTGCCATCATGTGAGACAAGGATGGACAACCTTGGTACTGGCTTAGACCTGGCCTAGCCCTTTTCCTTCTTCCTTTTTTTTTTTTTTTTTTTAAGATTTATTTATGTATTTGAAAGTCAGAGTTACAGAGATACCAGGAAAGGGGAGACAGAGAGAGAGAGAGATCTTCCATCTGCTGGTTTACTCCCCAAATGGCTACAATGGCCAGGGCTGAGCCAGACCAAAGAGGAGTCAGGAACTTCATCCTTTCTCCCACATGGGTGCAGGGGCCCAAGGACTTAGAACATCTTCCACTGCTTTCCCAGGCACATTAACAGGGAACTGAATCAGAAGCGGAGCAGCTGGGACAGGAACTGGCGCCCAAATGGGGTAGATCACAATGCTGGCCCCTTTCTTTTTCTTTTTTTCTTTTCTCTTTCCTTTCTTTTTCTTTCTTTCCTTCCTTCCTTTTCTCTTTCATTTTTCTTTCTTATTTGTTTCCTTCTGTCTCTTTCCCTTTCTCTCTTGCATTTCCTTCCTTCTTTCACTTTCTCCTCATCTCTTCTCTTTCTCTCCTCTCTCCCTGTGTCATGATTAAGTTAAAGAAGCTTAAGGTGAAAAGATCAACTGAGAGGACAGAACCAATAAGAAGATGCCTTTTTCCTAAATTTGTATTTATGGAATGCATGAAGTTTGTATACCTTAAATAAAAATACAAGATGCCTTTTCCTCTTGATTTTTGTGTTCTTACAGACTGTTCTCCTCTATATTTGCAAGCAGCTTAGGGTAGGTTGGCTTGAGGCCTCTATTATCCTTTTGCAAACAGATAATGCCTTTACTTCTTTTATAATTTTTTAAAAAATGTATTTATTATATGAGAGGTAGAAAGAGTGCGAGAGCACTCCCATCCACTGGCTCACCCTCCCAAATTCTCCTGGTGGCTGAGGCTGGGCTGAGGCTAAAACAGAGAGCCAGGAACTAATCTAGGTCTCCCATGTGGGTGATAGGAACCCAACTACATGATTTATCACCATTGCTTCTCAGGGTCTATTCAAGCAGGAAATTGGTATCTGGACACAGAAGTGGGCACTGAACCCAGGCACTCCAACATGGGATCCTATCTGGTGGGCATCCCTACCTGGTGTCCCAATCACTAGGCTAAATGCTCATCCCTTGTTTCTTAATTTTTAAAAAATTAAGGTATAATTGAAATTTAGTGATTAACATATTTTTAAAAAGTTCAACAGTTTTGTTCAAAAGTTTTGACAAATACTTGTACCTGTGTGACCCACACCTGAGAACACAGAACATGTCCATCATTGCAGGAAGTTATCCCACTGCCCTTTTTTTTAAAATATTTTATTTATTTGAAAGACAGTTCCATAGAGAGGTAGAGCCAGGGAGAGAGAGGTTAGTCTTCCATCCGCTGGTTCACTCCCCAAATGGCTGCAACAGCCAGAGCTGACCTGATATGAAGCCAGGAGCTTCTTATGGGTCTCCCATGTGGGTTCAGGGGCCCAAGGACTTGGGCCATCTTCTACTGCTTTCCCAGGCCATAGCAGAGAACGGGATCAGAAATGGAGCAGGAGGGACTTGAACCGGTGCTCATATGGGATGCTGGCGCTGCAGGCTGGGGCTTTAACCCACTGCACCACAGCCCCAGTCCCCAAATGTCCTTTCAAAGTCATTGCCTGCCCTCAATCCCCAGAGCATCCACTGGGTCAATTTCTATCACCATCAATTAGGTTCACCTGTTCTAGAACCACATATACATGGAATCAGATTGTTAATATTCTTTTGTGTCTGACTTCCTTAGCTGAAAATAACATTTGGGAGACTCATTCATGTTTTGTGTGTGACAGAAGTTTCTTGTATCTTTTGCTGAGCAGTATGCATTGTATTATATTAATATACCACTATTTATTCATTCTTGTATTGATAGAACTTTTTTCTTGATTTTTAGCTTCCATAAATAACACGGTCATGAATAGTCTTATAAAAGTCTTTTGGGGGAACTTTGTTTTCCACTTCTCTTAGCTGTGGAATTGCTGGGTGGTTGGTTGTTCAGTTAAAAGAAAATATCAAACCATTTTCCAGATTGGTTATACTATCTTAATAGTTATCTACTGTGTAAAAATATTGCACAAACTTAAGAGCTTAGGCAACATACATTTATTATCTCAGCATTTTTATGGGTCAGGTGTCTAGGTATGGCTTTGCTTATTGCTGCAATCAAAGTGTTGGCCAAGACTGGGTCCTCACATGGCATCTCAACTAGGAAAAGATTTGCTTCCAAACTCATGTTGTTTTTGGCAGAATTCACGTCTTTGTGATTGTATGCCCTAGGGCTTCAATGTCTTACTGGGTGTCAGCTGGAGATTGTCCTCAGCTCCTACAGATTACTGGCGGTTCAGACAGAAAGTAAATCGCTGTTGCATAAGTCACTGCCTTACGCCAAAGCCTTAGGGGGTAGCTCCTACTGGGACTTTCCAGAGAGGCCATACAACACTTATCCATCACAAACACCTCCAATGCTGCTGAATATTCTGGGTTGTATACCTCAAGTGACAGGGCAGCTGTATACAGCTGGACGTGATTAAGAGGTGTTTCTGGCTTTGGTACCCATTTGCAACTGGAAGTTTCTAATCCACTTGATAAGTGGATTGGAATTGTATTCCCAAAGACAGCATATGCTGCTTTTAAAATCCAAAGAGGCCCTGTAAATGAAGAGACTCTCTCTTAATGGCAGGTAGTTAGAGGTGGAACAACTTGTCCTTTTACATTAAAGATATTACCAATGTGCTCAGAGCAATGAATCCTAAAAATTTCACCAGTGTGGTAAACCCTTGATTATCTTGGAGTTTATCTGCTGTTCTTTCACGTGCATGTGTTTGTCTAGGCCATTTTGATCACACCACTCAAGATGTAGTCTACAAATGTTGACTATTGAATACTTCTTTATTCCATGGTGAGATAAATTTAGAAATTGAAAATCTATGTTTAGAATGTTTATAGCAATTTGATATTGCTGTGACATCCAAGCACATGATCAGAAGACTCATCTCACTGAACAAAGTATAGATTTTATTTGTCAAACTCACAGTGATTTTCATGTGTTAACAAGATATATAGTGGCCAAGTTCAGTAATTTCAAAATATATTGAAACAGAGAGAGAGAATGTTACATCACCACAGATACTTTGAGAAACATTGATCTAGAGTACT